GGGGGGGGGGGCTGTAGATTGCTGGGGGCTGGCATAGTAAGGGGCCAAGAGGCATAAGCTTTTGAGGATTGTGGCTCATTGCTGCCAACAGGGGATCAGCTAGATGAAGCCTAGTCCCTTCAGATGCAACCAATGCCTAGAGAAACTGCTTTCTCAGGATGGCCTGTTTTGATTCTCTACCCTCACCAGTTGGACTAGAGATGACAAAGTTATTTTTCCAGTGGTGGGATTTGCTGGCAAAGTGACAAGTCTCCAACAAGGGCAAGACCAATGTAACTCATCCTAGGAGTACTCAAAAATGAGGGTGGGGCCCGGCTGGGCGTGGCTCAGAGGTTGAGCACCTAGGATCCAGATCTCGGTTTGATTCCGTCAGGGCACATGCTTGGGTTGCAGGCTCAATCCCCAGTCGGGGATGTGCAGGAGGCAGCCAGTCTGATGACTCTCTCATCATTGATGTTTCTCTCCCTTCCTCTCTCTGAAATCAATAAAGATTAAAAAAAAAAAAAAAGAGGGTAGAAAGGGAGATTTGAGAGAACAGAGCTTACCTGTGCAACCCACTCTACTCCTATGCCCTATCACCAACTGGTGCTGGGGTCAGCAGGGGAGGTTAAAGCCAAATATGAAATAGTTTTAAAGGGACAGGTGGGCAGGACTAAGTCTTACTATCTGAAAGTGTCTGAAAAGTTAATCTGACATGTCAAAGGGGCCTATGACCCAAATGGCTCAATGTAGCAATTACTGGAAAAGACTTGATTTGAAAAAACTGATTTGAGACAAGCTAACCAAATATTAATTCTGGGTTTATTAAAAAGCAACTAGCAACCAGATTTGCAGAACCACCATTCAGTATTCATTTCTGAAAAATCAGTTTCCATAGTGACCTAATTGTACTTTATTTAATGAAACTTTAATGATGAGAAAACATTTTACACAGTCTCCTTATCTTCAGGGGATACGTTCCAAGACCCGCAGTGGATGTCTGAAACTGTGGATAGTACCAAACCCTATTATACTATGTTTTCTCCTATATATGCATACCTATGATAAAGTTTAATTTGTAAATTAGGAACAGTAAAAAATTAACAATAATAACAGAATTATAACATGCTGGAATAAAAGTTATGTGAATGTGGTCTCTTAGCAAACCAGCATGAATTCCTTTTTCCTTCACAATTTCATGGACAGAAGATTCATTCTTACTGTAGATCTTCGCAACCTCAGCATATGATTTTTTTCTTACTGAGAACTGTCACCTTTTCACTTAAGGAAGCACTTTATTGCTTCTCTGTGGCACATTTGAACTGTCAGCATCACTTTGTGCTTTCAGGCCATTATGAAGTAAAATAAGGGCTACTTGAAACACAACACTGCGATCCTAAGAGTCAGTCTGATCCAAGATGGCTAAGTGGCTAACAGGTTGGTGGCACACACCCACTGGTACGCTGTGGACACAGTGGATGATTCATGTCCCACATAGGATGGAGCAGGACAGTGAAAGATTTCATCATGCTATGCTGAACGGCATGCAACTTGAAACTTATGAATTGTTTATTTCTGGAATTTTCCTCTTAATATTTTTAGACTGTGGGTAACTGAAATCATGGACAGCAAAACTGCAGATAAGGGGGGGGACTACGGTATATGAAATATCTACCCAATTGCATCGACTAGAACATTGGGTGACACAAAAATTAGATTAACGTTAATGTTGAAGAGAGTAAAACATTCCACATCAGATAAAACTCTTTTATTAAAGTAAGGTAAGTATTTCATATTCCATGACTGTTTGAAACATCCAGGAGAGCTAGGTCCCGAATCTCTTCTAGAAGTATGTACAGGCTTCTTCCCTTGGTTTGGCAATATTTTTGATAATCTTCCTGAATGACGTTTACTTTGTCTTCTTGGGCAAGCTGAGCTTCCTCCACAGATCTAGTTACTTCTTTGACTAAGTCATTCTTTAGCAAGAGGGGACTCTGATGAAAAAGTTCTGTCTCCGGCATCATGTATGGTGTGTTGCTCATTATCTCAAGCCTAATGGTATCAGAATGGCAACGGGAGGCCTGTACAGATACTCTCACCTATCGCAGAGGACAAAATGCATGTTATTAAATCACATTCTTTGTTCTTTACACTGAAAGCAATATTTAATGTAAATACAGACTTACTGTTACATGGTCAAACAAATGGAATGTGACAGACTCCCCTTCTGTTGTGGTAGAGGTGATTTTGTTCTGAAATCGTTGAAGGGATCCTGGTTTCCATTCACAACGGCTATCTGGGCCACATGAGATTACTAAGCCATCTTTATTTTTTAGATAAGCAGCACCTTTAATCCCAAACCTGAATTATTGCCAGAATAAAAATCCAGAGATAATGTATTCTTAGTATGCAGATCTTGTATACTTAGCTAGAATGCTAGTTTTTTTTCTAGATTAAAAACAATTTTTCCTGTAATTTACCTCCAAATAGTTATTTCATTGATCAGATAGAAACAAAATATCTTGCTAATAAATAAGTAAAATCCTATCCTATCTGTATATAGTGAATTATACAGGGTGGGGCAAAAGTTTACAGTTGTGAGTATGGGAAACACAGAGTTTATTTTTGTATTATTATTTATTGATTATTGTATTATTTGCCATGTGAACAACTGTAAACGTACTTTTGCCCTACACTGTATATTACATTACGTTCATATGGTAACCAAATAATTGCTAAAATAAATATCTTAATAAATTATATCTAAAGTACTATTTGTGTTCTACATTTTTAGTTTAACTATGATTTCTTAACAATTTTTATGTTAAACATAACATACCTTGGTATAAATACGAGCACACCATTTGTTCTAATTGAATAAATAACCCCATCAGATATGGAACGCTCCTCAGTTTCTTGGTCTTTGTCTTTAAAATACATGCACTGGAAGAGCTCAGTAGACTGCTTCTGAGAATGCTGTGCTGCCTAAAAGAAGCACAATCCCAAAGCATGACAGACTTCTCTAACATTCCCAGAAGAAATATGAAATTCATAATCCCACAGAAACGATGTCATTTTTAAAGGCTAGATTCTGCCCCAGCCAGGTGGCTCGGTTGGAGTGTCATCCTGTACACCAAGAAGGTTGCAGGTTCGATACCCAGTCTGAGCGCATTTAGGAGATAACTGATCGATGTTTCTCTCTCACATCAGTCTAAAAATTGCAATTTAGCCCTAGCCAGTTGGCTCAGCGGTTAGAGTGTTGGCCCAAGGACTGAAAGGTCCCATATTCGATTCCGGCCAAGAGCATGTACCTCAGTTGCAGACTCAATCCCTGGCCCCAGTTGGGGCACATGCAGGAGGCAACCAATTGATGTGTCTCTCTCACATCAATGTTTTTTCCTCTCTCTCCTTTCCACTCTCTGAAAAAGCAATGGAAAAAATATCCTCTGGTGAGGATTAAAAAAAAAAAATTTAAATGGCCAACATGGCTGCTGGATATAATATTGCAAAGCACGGAACTATAGAACATTGGATATAGAAAGTATATTAAACATTTAGGTAGTTTCTAATTCTATGTGTCACCAAATGATCTAGTTCTATGCTATGCAATATTGAAGTCATTAGCAACAATATGAAATAGTACACAAAGCAGCTTCTAAAACAATGATGTAAGTATATTGACATGCTGTGCAATCAATAAGGTGTTAAGTGGGGGGGAAAAAAGGTGGATTTCAAAACAACAGATACGGTACAATATTTTTGTAAATAAAAAACATTATCTAAAGTTATCTCTGTGTGGTAACATGATAGATGATCTTTTATATTTCTACATTTTGGGGAAAACATCTATTGTTAAATCTTCCAAGTCCACATTAAATTACTTCAGGACATTTGTAAATGTAGCAAGAACTACTCAACAAGATTTATAATTTTTCATGTTATTTCTTTGGTTAGAATAATTCTAAAATTTAATTTGCTAGAATATATGGTACTTTGTTCTATTACACAATAAAGCAGATATTCTCTTAGCAAAAGAAATACTGGGTAAGAGAAATTAAAACCCCTCTTACTCGGTTTCTATTGTTGATATGT